TCCAAGGCGTCCCCTCCGCTAGAGCTTCGGGTTCTGAGATGCTCACAAGGCCTAGAACAACACTGAGCAACCACGTGCTCACCTCTCTGCGGCCAGACCCAAGGACAAGAGAGGACCGACAGCAGTCGGGCTGGACGTGCTGCGAGTGCGTAACCACGGGCTGTCGGTCCCAGCGCATCGGGCTGATTTCTGTTCACTCTAAGCACGAAACGGGGACTGAAGTTGGGAAGTCCGGATGCGGCGAGAAACCGGCCCTGCTCCCAGCGCTTTTCACTGCACGCTTCACCCGCTGCTCCTACCACGTCTCCTCCGGGCACGCTGCGCTTACCTTCTCGTTTGCCAAATGCAAGAGGCAGGCGAAGGCCAAGGGGATGGACAGGTTGTTAGCCATCGCGGAAGGCAGCCTACAAAAGAGAAGGGAGGAGGTGAGGACGGCCAGAGCCTACTGAAACCCGATGGATGGAGCGTGCCCGCGAGGACCAGCTCCTCCCCAGGGATGTGCTGCTCTCTACCCTTCCCCTCCCACTAGCGAAGGATTTGCCAAGCTGAACGCAACCCCTAGCTCCCCCAGGCAAACCCAGGGAGCCAGAGCAGGTTTTTCCCCATCGCGTTTCAGGTAGCAGGACCTCACAGCCACAGAGGGGGCTGCGTTTGCCCAAGCTCAGCTGAAGGCTGTCCCCCATCTTCAGTCCAACCTTTTTTTAGGGCCCCTCTACCTGTGAAGCAGTTCCTTTGTGATGCTGCTGAAGACTTTCTCTCCTGCTACCACTGACGTGTCCTTCTCTCTCTCTGCATCTTCCATCTATTTAGCAAAAAGACAGACGCTGCTGAGAGGGACTTCACTCCCCCCTACTCAGCCTTGTGCTCAGACAAAAACCACTGCAAGCTACGCATCCATCCATAGGAGCAAGGCTGCTAGAAAGGATTTGCTGCTAAGCCTGCCCAAGACTGTCTCTGTAGGAGTTAAGCAGTTACCCACAGGGGGTTCTCTTATCCTCGGGCCTGCTGGGGAATCTGGTTCGCCCCCCACACTCACCTCTGTCACTATTTGTTTCCTCTGTCCATCAGTCAAGAGGTCCCACATGTTGTTCTTCAACCTCTTCATGTCCATTTTCTTGGCTGTCTTTGCGTACTGAATTGCTATCTTATTGACCTGGGGAAATGAAGTCCAGGGTTAGCTGAGAGCAACTGAGCAGAGGCAGCAGCACTGTCAGGACCAGAGGGACAATCAGAACGCAGGTCTCTGGGAACAACGGTGAATGCTATCTTACTACTAAACCTTTGATTTCTTAATTCCTTTCCCTTACACAAGGGCTCATCTGGAAATAAAGCGTCTAGTAGCAAACCCAGGAGCTCCTGCACCAGGGAAACTGCTGCCTCAGGACTTCTAACCACGAAGGTGCTGAGGGGCTTTGCTCCAGGCCTGCCCAGCGAGCAGGTCACAGCTCGGTGACAAGTCCTTACCTTCTGGGGCTCAGCAATGAGGTTCAGCTCTCCGTACGTTGTGACATCAACATCGCCGACAACCCTGTTCAGCTCAGCGTCTTCACCCTCAGGATGGGCAGTAAGGTTGAACTCCCCCATCTGGCTCATGAATTGAATGGGCTCGTTGTCGTCATCGCTGTCTCCAGCCTGATCGAGAAGAGATGCACCAGTGAGGCCACCCACCGACATCTTTGAGTAGCCAGAGCTGTCCTGCACTGAGATAACAAGAGCACCCACATCTGAGGAGGGTGGAGATACCTGCCCACCTTCCCCATGGAACATGCTCTTCTAAAGCTTCTCCCCATGGCGCTTAGGCCGGGCTAAGGCTAAACCCAAGGGGAGATGCAGAGCGCAGAATATCAAAAGACTGTTCTACACAGAAAGATAACGGAGATGAGGGCTCTCTGACCAGTGTGGGACCAGCCAAGACTTGTCCGAAACACGCTGGGGAGGCAGCGCTGGCCTGGCAGAAGGCTGAAGCTTTAGAGGAAATCTACTGGAATGGGAGCTTGCAACAGCTAGGAGCAAACCTTGCTGGGCAGAGGTGACTGCGGACGTGAGCAATGGCATTTACTCCTGCTTTAGGGCAGAGGTGTACAGAAAAGGCTGGGATGGAGCTTCTGCAGCAAACTGACTGGCAAACACCAAAGGCAGAGAGTTCAGTTGATCTCGTTGGAGTGAGGGGACAGGGGTGCGCCAGAGACATCTGCAGCTCCAATTCTTCTTCACTAGTAATTAATTCCAGACGCAGATTCTTCCTACATATTTCCCATCACATTTCAAATATAAGCAACAGTAAGAAATCTTGTGCCAGTAACCTGCAACGCGGGGCAGAAATTGGAGGTGTCGTTGGGGTTGTTGTAATCGTACTCGCCGATCTCGTCCTCGTGATCCAACGCGCTGTCCCGCTCGGCCATCCTGCAGAGCTACAGAGACAAGACCAGGGGTCAGGAAAGGAAAAACTCTAAATACTTCCCAAAGCAACGACTGCATCTTGTTCCTTCATCACCTCCCCTCTTCCCAGCCTGCTGGCTCTTCCTCCTCCTCCTCCTCCTCGCATATCAGCTCCCTAGCAAGCCCCTTGTGAAGCACAACAGCTAAGCACAGCCGCTTCGGCGTCCACCAGCGGGTCAGTTCAGTGACAGGCACGCTGCTGGCTCGTCTCCAGCCCCCAGAGCACTTCAGCCCCTTGGTGAAGAGTTGTTTCGTGCACGCAATAATTGCCAACAGGCTTTCAGTGAAGACTCTTACCTTAACAGCTGGTTTGAGGAAGAGCTGGAGAATGTTGTCAGGGTCATAGTTGAAGTCGGTGGGAAGCGTGGTTCTCTTCACATTCTGGCTTTCCAGAATGGATTTGGCTAGAGTAACAGATGCCTGTGGAAGGTAATAAATACTGTTATCCATGAGTTATCCACTTCTTGGAAGATTAAAGCACAAGTAAGTGCTTTGAACACAGGCCTTTGTCTGAAAGGGGCTAAGTTCTGAGATGCCTCCAAAGAGGAGTTCCACACTGGTCCAGTGCATGCAGCAGCCTCTGCGCAGCATCCTGGGCCGCGCAGAGCTGGACCTGCAGGGTCCCTTTGACGGACAGGGTATGAGCCAGGAAGAAGCCAGCCTGATTCTCCACCCCAAGGTTGGTAAAACTCTCTACTTATAATGTGACATAGAGTCAGAAGACCCCGCACCAAGGAACATAGGCAATGTTGGGTTTACAGAGCCAGTTTCACAGGAGCATGAGGCGAGCTGCTTGCAGATGACAGTTCCAAGACACACTGATCCAGCAAAAGAGAAAGCAGGAAGAGGCAGAAACCCAGCACATACCTTGGTCTTACGGAAATGTGCTTTAAAGTCAATATCCTCATCAAAGTTAATTTCGAATGCTTTCTTGGCACACCTTTTCCTGGTCTCTTTTTCAGAGTCAGCATCTGCTGCAGAAAGGAAGGAAACCGTCAGTGCTTTGTGACAGAGTAAGGACAAGCAGCTCACTCCTAACTTGAGCATCTGCTCCACACAGAAAGGTCACCTACAAGGACTTTTCCCTTTGTTACAGCAAAGCAAAAGGTGTCGTTCTCAGCTTCATGTTTTAAGGGGATCAGGATCTTTTTACAGAAGCAGAAAGTGTAGTTTAATCTTCAGTTTTTACGCAGAAGGTGGGAAACAACAGCAGGAGCTGTACTAGTGCTAGTATCTCTTATTGCTGCAGCAAGAGACACCCCCTCAACTTTGAGCATCATTAACAAACCCAAATGATTGAGGATACGTCAGACACCAAGCAATCTGCATGTGACTGAGAGCCTTCCTGGTGTCTGAACTCACTACTGGCTGGAAAAGAGCCAAGCAGGCATATCCCCTTCCTTACGACTCAGATGCCACCCATCCCCAAAGGTAAGCAGGACCTGGCAGCCGTCTCTGAATACGTACATTTGTGTGGAGGTTTGAAACGCCAGTGCTCCGGGCCAGCCCACATCGACAGCGTTCGGGGACTGAAGTAGGAGTATTCCCCTGGTTTCATGGAGAGGTGAAGGCACATGGTCCCGATGTCGCCCTCTCCAAAAGGAGCCGCATCAAATCTGGAAAAAGCACACGCGCCGCTCAGCGACACCATTCCCTTGGCACGCACCGGGCCTGAGCCTGCATTTAATATCCAGAACAGCTCTGCACAGACATCGCCCGCTCCCTCTGCCGGCGTGTGCGCAGGACTCCTGCCCTTCAATCTGTGAACGGTACCGGCCGTGTTGCCCTGAGAGGCTGCTGCAAAACCAGAGCTGGGGTTGCCAAAGAGCAGGCTGGAAACTGGGCAGCAGAGCGAGCAGTCATGCGATCGCTCTGGGGAAATGCGACTACAAAAAGGTCCTCTGGGAGGGCAGAATTATGACTGTCATGCATTCCTGGATGTACTCGAGACTTGAGCAGAAAGCAAGCTATACCCAGATGGGAAACCATGTACAGAGTAAATTAAAGATCCCCCCGAGAGCAGCCAGAAATTGTCGCTTGCTATCAAAGCAAAGTTACAGATTTTCAGTGACTGCTCACCTCTTGCTCTGGCGGGCTGTTCCAAAGGAGCTGAGTTTTTCTGTGAATTCCCCAATCTTGTCTGCTACTGTACTCCTGAGGGAGTCAGAACTGAAGTTGTCATCTGGCAGGGCAGGAACACAGTCTTCCACATCGCTGTCTACCTCTGCGTTGATATCGAACACTTGATCGCTCTTCTTAAATTTATCCAACAGGGCTGACACTGACTGTAGGAGAAGAAAGTGCTCAGGAGAAAAACTGCAGGGTACCAGTGGCCCTGCAGCACAACATCCCGCTGCCCTGTGCCTCTCGGAGATCCCTTTGGAGGTGAGCACAGAACACAGCTCGAGCACCCCGCCTGGCACAGCGCTAATAAACTTACCTCATCATGGGATTCAGCATCCCACTTTGTAAACTGGAAACCAGCCAGCGAAGAGCAGATGGGGCGTTTTTCAATGCACTGCGCTAACAGGGCTAAAGACAAAGAGAGCAAGGGGAAGAGATTAGACATAGGATGAAGCAACCAGCAGCTAAAACAAGTGCCAGGCATTAAATCATTCTTAAAGCCACCTATGTAGGCAGCCCTTCTTGCACGTAGGGCTCACTGCAAAAGCAGTCAGGCTCATTTCTCAGCAGAAAGGGAGAGATGGATTGCTGCCCTACCTCAAGGGTGGGCATAACGCTGGGAATCTTATCGGAGCAGCGAGGTTTGGTAGTGTGTACAGGCTCAAAACACCCTAAGAAGGTCAGTTCTTAACCTGGAGCACACTAATCTCAGCTGCTGTACAGCTCAGACCGCAAAACACCCTAAGAAGGTCAGTTCTTAACTTGGAGCACACTAATCTCAGCTGTTGTACAGCTCAGACCATGTGTACGTGCTGTGTGATGGGTCTGCCAGAGGTTAAGCTACACGTAGTGATCTAAAACCTGCAAAGGCCCCGTTTTTCCAGCAACCATCTCAACTTTATTGGGAGCAACAGTGCCACAGGGCAGCCAAGCAGTGAACAAAAGCACAAGTCGAGCCGGCTGAGACTACAGCGAGCGCAGCTGTGAGATGAAAAAGATCCAACAGTCTGGACGGGCCCCTTTGCTTAGTGGTTACTGGCACTCACGCTTTAAATCCACCACCTTCACAGGATCAGAGTTCGGCAGCGCGAGCGTCTCTGAAGAAGGGAGAGGCACGATCTTTGAGTCAAAGAGGAGCTCACTGTGGCAGTTTTGGGTACGCAGCCTGCGGAGGAAAATGCCAGCAGTGCTGCATTCGTCAAAAGACGCGGCTGTTCTCTGGAACATGGGATCAACCTACAGGTACGGAATGAAGCAGAGAATCAAGGAGTGGAGGGGGCGAAGCAGGTCTCTGCAGGAGACTTCTAGGTACCGATTCGAAGAGAGAATGACCCGCGCATCTTTTTCAGCAAGGAGAGCTCTCACAGCTGCCTCACACAGGAAGAATATAAGTGACTGGGGAGAGTCTTGCTATAACAGCAGATTTCACAGACGTGCATGTGAATGTTAGAGCCCAAGAGAGGAATGAGCAAGAAGGAAAACAATAGAAACGAGAAAGATGAGGCCACATCTCCCTTCCTCCACCAGAACGCAGCTGCTCCAGCAGCCCCCCTCCACCCACCTCACATCTGCGATTAGCCTCCGACACGTTGATGTTGTTCAAGTTCTGCTCGATGGTTTTGAAGGAGTGCTTTTTCTTTGTCTGAACTCTCTTGACAGCCTCGGGAGCTGGACTGTCTTCTAAAAGGAAAAGAAGAACAAGTTACACTTAGAAAATTTGCTAAAATACCCTGTGGAGGGTATTTTACTTTTACACAAACTTTTACAAGCAGTACACAAAACCCCAGTGGGCATGAAGTTACCCAGCTGGGCATCTATTAGCACAAACCACCAATGTTTTACTGCCTGGATGCTGCATTTCTTTTTATAGACTCTATTTTATCTTAACAGCACGTTTTAGTTTCAAAGCAAAGGACAGTAACGTGTGGGGCACTTCATTTTTCATGTTTCAGATTAGGCTAACTTTAGTTTACGTACAAATCTGATGAGCCAAATTGCTGAATACAGGATTGAGCAACAGGTTCAGGTTCTCATCTCAACCCTCCCTGCTCCAGCACCCAGACAAACTAAGTGGGGATTTTGCAGCCCCTGAAGAAGGAAGCTCGTGGTACTCTCCCAGAAGTACAAAGTGCTTCGCGATGCCATGAAGTACACTGAAATTACTCTTAGCGCAGGAGGAATGGGAACAGCTTAACAGAAAAGGAGCGAATGGCGCACCTCCTTCTGGGCTGTCCACGTTTTTCGTAGGGGCCGAGTCCCTGCCCAAGCCTCCCAGAACTTTGTAGGTATCTGCATGGACCGCATCGACGCGCACGGCGTAAATCTTCGCGCTGGCATCAAGCGTGCCAGCTGCCATCTGACGGGAGGAACAAAGGGTGCCATTGTTAGTTAGAAAGGAAGAAGTCCCATCTAGCAGATGTGAACGCAGAAGACAAGCTGCAGACGTGAATTTCTGAATGCTCTGTATTACAAGCAAAATTGTGAACAACTGGAAAAGGGTTTAGTCTGAAACCTGCTGGAGACCGAAGCGCACAGCAGAGGTCGTGATGTGTCTTCCCCAGCAGAGCCCACAGTTTGCTTTATCAGTCCTTTAGGAAAGGATCGCACAGACAAACTTTTAAAAAGTGGCCAAAATTAAACAGTGGGGAGAAGCAGAAAGGTGCAGGCTTGCATCTGCCAAGAGACCTCTCTCTTCCCTGCCTTCTTTTGGGTTCATCCTCTCGGTATTGTTCTATTTTCCCAAATTAGGCAGGCAAAAGAGGTGAAGCGCGGGAGAGGCTGGGTGCCCTTTTTGATCACAGACCCCCCCTACCGAAGGCGAAGGAGCACCCACTGAAAACCTGTGCACTGCTTCCTCTCCCTTCCTCGGTTTCATCAACCATTAGACAGCTAGCTCGGGTTCCTCGAGGCCACGATCATTTGTTCATTCATCTAAGAATTCAGTTCTCCCTCCCAGCATCAGCAAACTATTATAGCAAGTAAGTCTTTGCCCTGGTAAGTTTTCACTCTGGTCCATCCCAGATAGAAGTTAGCCTGGGAGGTAGCCACATGGACTTCCTTTCTTTTACAGCCTCGTTTTGTTACTGGTTGTAACACCCAGTTTTTACCTTAGAAGCCTCACAAGTCTTACTTTTAAACACTTTCGAAGGACCATAACTGAAAGAATTCAGCCTTTCATTTCTGTGGTACAAAAGGATTCAACACCGTGACCTTCTGCAAAAAGTGACTGTGCTGCCTGACCAGATATTTTTAGTGGCCGGAACCAGCTCGGTGACCTTCAGCATTATTTGAGATTTGTTACCGACTAAACCTTAGGCTCAACCTCTTCACCACGAGGGCGGTGAGGTACTGGAACAGGTTGCCCAGAGAAGCTGTGGCTGCCCCCTCCCTGGCAGGGTTCAAGGCCAGGTTGGATGGAGCTCTGAGCAACCTGGGCTGGTGGAAGATGTCCCTGCTCATGGCAGGGGGCTTGGAACCAGATGATCTTTAAGGTCCCTTCCAATCCAAACCATTTGGTGATTCTAGAAACGCCAGTTGGGGACAAAGCACCGCTGTGACCAGGCAGCGATTCCTCTCACCTTGAAGTTGGTCAGCTCGGAGTCCTTCTGCTTCAGGATCTCGGTCATGTAGTCGATCAGGTGCAAGCCGAAGGCGTTCTTCGTGGTGATTTTCTGCAACAAAGCAGAGCTCGGAACCGATCCCCTGGCGCGTGATGCCTGTCAAAACTGCCCCGGACCCTCATCCCGCGGGGGTATTTATGGTGGGATGAAGGGGCTACGGTCTGGGCTGTGTAATGCTGTGTTACTGCTGGGAAGGCAGCAACAGGAGCCCAGAGCTGGCCGTGGCTCCGGCCAGGGACGGGGCTCA